AGACATATATACATATGCATATCTATGTACATATATTAATGTGCATAAATATACACATAATATGTACATACACATGTTTGTGCATATATATATGTGCATAAATATTTACTTATATATATATATTGGACGCAAACACACACACACATATATATACACACACACACACATATATGTATATATATATATATATATATATATATATATATATATATATATATGTGTGTGTGTGTGTGTGTCCGTGTGTTTTGTGTGTAAAGAATTCTCAGAATTAACCTGTAGAAAATATGTATTAATTTAAATGGTCAATAGGAAAAATACTTTTAACCCATGTCTGTCGTACATTCTGGACATTTTCAAGGTTAAAAAAGAAATTAATTTATTGACGCAAAGTTTCTATAAACAACAAGCCAAATGTCCTCAAATATGAGAATTTAGCAACTCTATTGTTTATCTTGTTCAGTTGACCATATGAATATAAATAGCATTTCTACATTCGTCTACTTGCTAACAACATTTTGTTTGTTGTTTGCAGATACTTTGATTCAATAAATTCATTTCGTTTTTGCCTTGAAAATGTCTACATTTGAGGAAACGCGTCCGCTAAAACTACAATATTTCTGTTGTCTTTTTTTTTATTTATATATATATATATATATATATATATATATATATATATATATATATATATGATTGTGTGTTTGGGTAGCAATCTCTCTTTTATTCATGGTATATTAAAGACGACTGACAATCATAAAGAAATGTTTCCTGTGTTCGCATAGGTGCTTTTGCAAAACTAAAATGAATACAATAGATGCATATATATATATATATATATATATATATATATATATATATATATATATATGTGTGTGTGTGTGTGTGTCTGTGTCTGTGTGTGAGTGAGTGTGCGCGCACATGTGTGTATATGGATGTATGTTTGTATAGGTTCGTGGAAATATGCATGGTACACTTAGCTGTAGATATTATTACAATAGTCAACATTACTCCAGTAAAATTTGTATTAACTAAACGATACTGGTAACGTTTTGAATAAGTATTTATATGATAAATCCACTCTGCATATGCTTGTGTTTTAGCAAAATCATTAAAAATACAACTCTTATTAATTTTTTTAAATTCACATGTGTAAAGATGTACCAAGATTATAAGAATTATATTACATCAAAAACTAAACAATAAATCTTAACGTTATGTCCTCAAATATGAGAATTTAGAAACACTAAACGTAATTCTTGAACGTAATTTCTAAAAGACAGAAATGAGATCAACAGTCAAAATTATTGTCAAGATGAAAACAATAAAATGAATTGTGCCATTCAGCTTTAATGTACATGTCAAAAAGAGTTTTTTTAGAAAATTAAATAAGTAACAATTAAGAAAACAGGAAATTGTTTGAAGTCGCTCTTGTTAAAAATATAAAGTATGAGAAATATACAGGATAACATCAACTTCAATATAGTCAATCTAACTCCTTGAAATAAGCATCATCCAAAGAAATGGGAAAGGAGGCGAAGACATACATGGAAACTGATGTTTCAACAGCAATATTAGAGAGAAATGTTAGAGCTCCATTATTTGGACTTCGTGGCTGGACTAGAAATGGAGTCTTTACTTGAAATAATCAACCAATGCAACTTAATTGACAATATAATCCATTTGGACTGATGCTTAGGACTTAAAGTATAGATCAATATATATTTATTTCCAAATTTTCTTACATCAAGATAAATGTAAAGAATTATTATAATTTCTTGGTATATAGCTGCGTTTGTTCGCCTTATATGCTCCAAAAGCTAAAATGCATTTCCATGCAATATTAGTTTTTATTCCCTAAATTAACTATAGCTCACCTTGAAAAAAATTCCAACGCAACAAATTAATATACTAGTGTACTGACACTAATCTGTCCAAGTAAAAGTCCATCATTACAAGATATGTTTAAAAGAATAGAAAAGAATATTCAAATAAATTAAATATCTAGGAAGCAATAAGATCTGTTTAAATCGTAATCTTAGAAAATCAATGAATCTATAAATCATTAAGGAAACCATATAAAGGTGTGATGGGATAATACTTTAATTGTCGTACATTAATAAGAAAACTGTGTTTATAAACACATTAATGTCCCATATCATGGACGTTTATGAATAAATAAATAAATATATAGCATGTAATTTGTAGCTAATGCCATTCACGCAAATGTAAATATGCCATCAATGCGATTGATCTCATAAGTAATATATTACGCAATATATTGGGCATATAGACATAAAAATATCCTGATTAACATCGGTTATATCTTGAAAATATTGAAGATGGCATGAGATAATATATGTGTCTATATTTAAATCAATATATATATATATATATATATATATATATGTGTGTGTGTGTTTGTGTGTGTATGCGTGTATATATATATAATTTTGTTAATCGTGTGAAAAATATGCATCCATTATATACACACACACACACACTATCTCTCTCTCTCACACACACACACACACATATATATATATATATATATATATATATATATATATATATATATATATATATAAAATCTCTTTTGTTTATGATTATCCAATATCAAACAGACTTCTGTTAAATTAAAAAATAGCTATATATAATGGTAGACATACCTTTATTCAGCATATGTAGAGCTTATCACTTATTTCAAAATAGCCATTTATATACGTATATTAATTTTAGAAGTATATGCTTCTGAATGAATCAGTTAATTATATTTTAATTATTTACAAATATGTTTGCCCATGTATAATTGAAAGCAACATAAACATGCAAGCACAAACGCACATACACACACACATATATATATATATATATATATGTATATATATATATATATATATATATATATATATATATATATATATATATATATATATATGACTCATGTCTCAGAAATTGGGGACGTGTAAGTACTCAAAAAAGCAAATAATTTTTCATGTGTAGGAACGGATTTATAAAAAAAAACCTATGTAAAATGAGTTTTGTGATGTGTTTTTGTACACCGGTATGTTCTTCTTATTTCATATTAATGATTCCTCATATATGTTTGTGTGTATGTGTGAGTATGCGTAAACAACAGAAGAGCACACATAAATACAAGTATGTGTTGTGTGTGTATATATATATATATATATATATATATATATATATATATATATATATATATATATATATACACACATATATATATATATTATTTTTATAGATGTGTAGTATATCATTTAATTACATCCTTTCAATTGAAACACGTACACGTATATATATATATATATATATATATATATATATATATACACAAACACACGCACAAATATATATATATATATATATATATATATATATACGAATAATGACAATAGGAAATCTTATCTTAGCTGAAACAAATGCCTTAAAAATTCCATCCGGAGATGTAATATGTCGATTAAGATAAGATATATATATATATATATATATATATATATATATATATATATATATATATATATATATTCTTACAAAGATGTATGTAATGAGGCATGGAATGCTCGTATACTTTTTCGCTCGCACACACACAGACACACACACACATATATATATATATATATATATATATATATATATATATATATATATATATGCTTGTAGAGAGAAAAAGTAATGTGATATATACACTTCTATATATCAGAACAATTTTGGGCAAATGAACACTAATTTGACTCTCTTCACAAAATAAGCATTTTCATCAAATAGACGGAATACTGATTTTGAGAAGTTGTCCATTCAGATTTCATTGAAGCTAAGCAATTGAACATATATATGTGTGTGTCTGTGTGCGTTTGTGTGTCTATTTGTGTGTATGTGCGTCTGCGTTCATGTGTGTAATTTCACCGTGTGTGTCTTATTGCAACATAAATATTCAAGATGAAATACGAAATTACACTTATATCGTTTCGTTCTTCCCAACAGATATAAGAACGAAGATTCCATTCACAATAATACCAGACAACGTACCTTTTCAGCGACAATTCTTTCGTTTTTTTTTATATATATATATATATACATGCTTGACGTATGAAAATTTTATATTTTTTGTTTCTTTTTTTTTTAATTTATGACAAACGCAGAGAACTCTAATTTATATTAAAAATAGGATCAAAAATTTACTGTTTTGGGCGCTATTAACGTTTGCACCAGAATATCCATTTTGGATTATTTTGTTGTTGTTGCTGTTTTTGTTCGATTTCCACGTGTTTTTTTTTTTTTTTTTTTTTTTGCACTTGTGGTTTATGTTGTGGCTGCTTTTGTTAATGATGTTATTACGTGTATTGTGACCTACACATCCATTTCGTTTGCACTTCCTTCCGACTGCTTATAATGGTTTAATCCGTTTTCAATTGTATCAATTTTTATTTTAAGTATAAATATTTGTTTACATTTTTATTCAGTTTTTTTTTTTTGTGTGTGTGTGGTTGATAACTTTTTTCATTACTATACTTGTCTCTATGTTTGAATTCGGCGTTTTAGATGTGAAAAAAACAATAATTTCCTCTATTTTCTTTTTACTTCTCTCTGATATTTAAGTCTTATACAGGTAAATGTGTACATTTCCTTTACTACATATCTATATCCTTATACTATTTCTGTTTCCATTTGAATGTTTATTTCTCCCAATATAGGTTACTTATTGTACCTTAATTCGAGACGTTGAAAAATGATTTTAGCAACGTTAATGGTTTATTTTAAATATTTTAATTATTACTTTAAAATTATCTCTTAACTATCATCATTGCAAATTATCTTTAACGTCAGTGTATATTAATATAATCATCATGGGTTTTATAATCAGATATTATAATAATTATTGATATTAATATCATTTTTAATATTATTATAATTATAGATTTTTTTTAATTTGCCCTCTATAAGAGAACGATATAAAAACAGAGCTAATGAAGTGACAATTTGTGTCATTGGTGACGCAGAAAAGCCACAAATAGGCTACCAGCAAGCATTAATCTAGTGGCCTGCATTCGTAAGCCGCCGTTGTCGTTGCCTTTTCGAATAACTTTCCAGTCTTTATCTTTGTCTTGTGTCGGGCTGACGTGAACCGTTCGTGGCTTGTCAGGGTATCGTGGCCGAGTTGTAATCACTGAGTGGACATCATGAACCTGTTGGTTTTGTGTTTCGTCAGCACAGCCCAACCACCAATAGCTGACTTTGCGTGGGTAGTCATCGTCAACCTGGAAACATTAAATCAAAGATTACTATGGCTGCTTGTAAATTGAAAATATGCACAATGAAGACACATCAAATTATACTGGGTTAAAAAAAAATGTCTGAATTTAAACGGAGCTATAATTGTTTTATTTTATAAGTTTGGTAAACTAATATATAAACAGTTTAGAGATGCACAGCTCGCAGGAGACAAGGAAAAAGACAGAGATATTTTGTTGTTTAAATGAGTACTATATATTTAATGATGAGTAAGCATTGATTTGTTTTTATGTCTTATCTACATTTTCCAGGTAATTTAAAGCCAGAAAATATTTATAGATTGTAAGAACTTTTTGGAAATAATAAAGATTTACTCCTTTACTTGATTTAATTGTTCTACCAATTAAGCCATAGCTAGGTGTTTATTCCTACCTCACATAAACTTATTCGCTTGTAAGTAAATATAACGGACACGAATGGAATTGGAACTCGTCTGTCCGATTTCCAATTCCAAGCCATTATCCATTACACAGCACAAACTCCCAATCTTACAGCAACTTGGCATTCCCAAGCAATCTACCATCTAGGTACTGACCAGGGGCGACTTTTGTTACCTTCGCCGCTCCTACGGAGACCGGTGTTGCAACGGGATATGGCTGTGAACTTGATGATGAGTGGATTATAAATAAAAACAGTATTTCTCTTCATTGCTTACTATTGTTTTAATCACATTGCGTAGATTCAATCAATTGCAAAGTGATTTGAGAAAAGCAAAGTAAACTGATTTTAACTAAAATGGAAATCATATGTATTTCTTTTTCAGAAAATGTCTGTTTTGTTATATTTCATTTGTAATGTTTCATGCTGCGAGATTTGTATATATTCTGTTTTCTTTTTTTCAATTTACAAAAATATAAAAGAAAAAGCATAGAAAATGTCCGATTTGTTTGGATGGATAATAATATAAGTTCATTTATAGTCAAAAATTAAACCAGTTAGTTATTTTTTTATATTTTTTCTTTTCTTTTTATTAAGATAGAAACTGATTGCGTAAATACAGCTATTTATGTCGTAATTTGTGGTACATATTTCTCTGAAAAGGATACTTGCCTAAGTAACTACCTAAGCAGTGCCAAATTCAATTTCTCTTTAATAATACTGATATTTAAATTATACATATAGTAAATTGGCAATTTTGAAATGGCCAAAATATTCCTATCACTAATGTTTTATCACATTCTTTGTTGACCTGGATTCTTCATGAGCAAATAAAAATGAACCAATTCAAGGAATCTTTTTCAGTATTCGTTCATGTTTGCCCACTGTGAGATACAGCTTTTGAAATGTTTTTTAATAACTACATCCATATAATTAATATGTCACAAATATATACTAAATTTGTTTCGTCAAACGTGATTACAATATTAAAATCTCGACATCGGTACGAGATGAATCAATTGCATATGATCAAGAAATGAGACATAAGTGGACTATAAAAGATACATAATGCGGTATTCTGATATTTATAACATATTTCCTACTTATAATTTAAATATTATACTTCAAGTTGCTTTTACAGGTTAAGTTTTAAAAGTATTAAAATAATATATATAAAATATATATATATATATATATATATATATATATATATATATATATATATATATATATACATATATACAAAAAAAATTTTAAAATTAAAAAATATATATATATATATACCTGTTAAAAGCATATTATTTAGGTCGTAAAATGTTTTCATGAATTAAGTGGATGTAAGTAATGACGTAGGGTTGGAATTTTGAAATTTTGTGAGAAAAATGACTGAAGTATACGTTAGACAAAAGACGTTAAATGCATTTTTGATAAGACATATTTTACCTAAATCATGTAAAAATTAATGTCCCTAATAAAGATGGAATAATTTCTTATTTCTTTGTTTTTTTTTTAATCATGTTAGAAAATGCCATTCCCGTGCAATTTAAACAATTAGACTTTATTGTTTTTTGTTTTTTTCTCTGAAGCGTCGGTCATTTAGTTTTCCAATTAACTTTTAATAAAGGATGAAATATAGTGAATGGTGCCTGAACGTACCCGGAAATTTTTATCATTAAATCTATAATATGTATCCCCATTGAAGAAATAGGTTCTGCCATTCTGCCATTTAAACGCTGCGGTAACACGAGGAGGCAGGTTAACCCAGACGTTCAGCTGTTTTGGATAGCCAAAATCAATTCCATATTTCGCCCACCTCCAATAACGGTCTCCTTCGAAATAAAAAAAAAGAGAAACAACAAAAATGAAAAGCAGTTCGCAATTTGTTGTAGCTAGACTATCTATATATAAAATTATGTAACATCCGTTAGTCCGTCCGTCGTACTGTTTATTATAACCATACATTTAAACCAAATTTTGCGGAGAAGGGTAAAATGATAAGGTGGTACAGTTGGTTTTACTAGGGTGTGCAGCTAAGTACAATAAATTTTCATTAATTGTTGGGAAAAATTATGAGTTATATAATTTAACATACAATTTAATTATTAAAATAACAAATAATTATTTAATAAAAATGCAATATTGTTTTACATATCTTGTCTTAAATATTTTATATATATATAAGAATCTAGTTTCCATTTCACCCTGCGTTTGTGGGAACAATAAACAAATCTCAAAATTAAACGCTTCAAGAATTGGTAATTTGGCCACAAAAGGAAATATTTACGCATGGCCAGTTGTTTGTTGCATGCTGAAGAGTAAGAAACTGCGTTTAAAAAGGAAAAAGGAAAAAAGAATGTTCTATAAAAAACGAAAAAAGGAAAAAATGTTCTATAAAAAGAAAAAAGAGAATATTCTATAAAATAAAAGTAATGAAATTATTAAACCATGAAGTAGGGTTTTTGTCAAAGTATTCTTCAAAACAACTGAATGATTTTCGAAATTGAACGAAATTTACAAAAAATGTTAACGATAACTTTAACAATACTAAATATTGTAAGGATATCCAAACACGTCATCGGAACAAGAAGTACCAAAGATATGGTAACTATTTAAATAAGTAGAAGATAAGTTATAATACTACTTAATGTAAGCGATAACTACAACAATACTAAATGCTTTGAATATTTCAATACACGTTATCGTGTATAAAACCTTTAGTTAAAAAGTAAAACAGGATCTACATTGTTTAACATACAAATCAATATAAGTGATTGTTTTAAAAGTTTTTGTCGATGTTTAATTGAAGAAACCATTGCAGTTAATCAAGAAAGGCACAGGTTACCTTTGATGAAGTATGTCTTTCCATTGCCGCTCCAAACGAAAGCTGCGTCAATCTTATCCGGCAACCCCTTGAAACCTTCGCGTATCTTACGGGGATAACCTGAGACGGGCTTCATGCCATCAAATTTCCAATATTTGTCATCCTGAAAATGATATTCAAAGCAGATTGATAATTTGGAGGGTATATTATTTGTATGCAAAATTATTAAGACTTAAACAGCAGCAAAATATTCAATCTTGAAATTTTGTATTTTTTGCTCACACTCCTTTTTATTATATATATATATATATATATATATATATATATATATATATATATATATATATATATATATATATATATATATATGAACTGAAGGCAAGGATTATGGCAGTATTCAACAACTTAAACAAGGAGACCGTCCAGAAGAGATGCAGTAGATTTTGATGTCGTCCCGAAGATGTGGTTGAAGCCAATGGCGATTTTACTGAATAAATATATTTAATATTTCAAGATATTCTTGTGGAATTTTGATGAATATAACTGTTAAAATGAGATATCAGCGTTATTTTTTTTTATTTCTGCACAATTTGAGGACAATTTATTCAGCGCACCCTCCTGCTCTGCACAGTAGAGTAGGTTTAGTTAAGCAATATATATGTGAGAAAAAGAGCTACATAAGGCAATTGACTTTGCTAGAAATTTGGAAACGGTATACTGTACGACTTGGCAGTCATTCCGGAAGCTCCAATACGAATATTTCAAAGTGTTTGGGAGTCTGCGCAGAGGATTCGGAAAGTGATAAGTCTGAAGGTAATTGCGAAGGTAAGGACTGTACGGAAACTTCATTCTGATCGTTGATAAGTAAAGAACCCTCGAATTTGTTGGTGTGAGACCTACATCATGTACTTTGAGGATGTAATGCTGCCCTGTGTTAAGAGTGTGGCTAGTGAAAGTACCTATATCTGGCAACAAGACTCTACAACCTGTCACACCATCAGGAGAACACAATCATGGCTGTCAGACAATTTCTACTGCCACATCACACCTTACATCTGGCTACTTAAATCCTCTGACTGATGTGTGGGTCGCAGTTGAGCGAAATACAAACAAAACTCTTTTTAACACCCAAGACGAAATAAAGACAAATTTTATGGTGGCATTCCCCAACTTAAAAAAGGAGAGCGTCCAGAATTGTTGCAGGAGATTGCGAAGTCGTCTGATTAAAGCCAATGGAAATTTTAATGGATAAATTTACTCTTTTGTATTTCAGATTTGTTTGCGTAATTTTGTTGAATATATCTGTTAAAATGAGATGTCAGTGTTATTTTAAGTTTTACGTAATTTTGACGACAATATATCGACCGCAACCTCCTGTTTTCTCTAAACTGTATAATAAATGCCTCGGTCCCTGATGGAAGTCATCGTCTGTTTTTCCAAGTTTAAGAACTCGGGGGATCCTCCGACCCATCGAACTATCTGCCTATTAGCGTTCTACCTCGTTTGCTCATAGAGCCCCTAATCAATGCTGAATTGGTTCATCATTTCTCATCGCGGGACCTTCTTCTCAGACAAGCAATCCGATTTTCGTTTTTTCAGATCAACTACTGATGTACGAACAATAACTGTAAAAGGGTATATATATAGGGTATATATAATTTTCACGGCATTACGTTGCCTCCGCCATGTTATATGGTAGGGATAATATTCATCGGAGTGTATGCTTCTCCTCTTTTTCTCAAAATGGTAATCCTATTGCTGTGACCGAATAACTTGTGTTTGGTTTTATCAGACCAGACAGTGCCAAAGACGTTCATACTTCTTTAGTATCTTGCAATCTTCAAACGAGCAACTAAGTAGTGTTTTTTTTTTTTTAAAAAGACATCTTCTGGTGACGACGCGCCTTCAAGACACCTCTGTTATCAGTTCTAGTAATCGTTGACCTTAAAGAATGAACTCCGATTGCTGTCAATTTTTTATTCATCGCTACAGTTGCTGTCTTAGGATCTTTATTGATCATTCTCATCATTTGCTCATCCTGTTCGGAAAAGAGCTTTCTGTCGCGCCTACACTTGTTCTCCAACAAACTGGTATCTCGATGCTTCACGATTATGTTATGAATAGTCGAGTTAGCTATACTGTCTTTTTTACATATTGTCATACCCATCTCCAACAAAGTTAGCATCAGCAACCGTCTCCTTTAAATCAGAACTGTGTCACTGCAGCTTCACCATGAACAAGCAAGTAGAATAATAAAGTTTGTGCAAATGATGCCAAGTACCATTTCCACGTATTATTCTAGAAGTTTCTGTAAAATTCTAAGGATGACGTAATCTCCATTTTCAACACGTATTCTTATATTGCAATCCAAATTACTCTTTTTGTAACGTATTATGGAGTTGTCAGTAATTTTGAATCGAGATTTAATATTTCATTGGTTATTTTTCTACATCTAATATGTGAAAGCACGTGCGATAACCTGTCCTCGTCATCTACCAACAAGGGGAAGTAATACATAGTCGGAGGCTAAGGCAGTACTGCCACCCTTGGCGCCACAGACAGCTATTGCCAAAGGATTGTATTGTTTTTTGTTGTTTTTTTTTTTGGTGTGTGTGTGTAGACTTGTCAATCGCTTGGGATTATTTTTTTTTACAACTAAAAGTAGATATACAAATTAATGTTAAAAGCGTTTGCTTTAGATCGTTAATCAATACATAGAATGGAAGGTAAACAGATTTGTTTCACGTCGGAAGTAACATTGTGTTATGAGAATGGTTTAATTAACATTGCTTATTTTGGAACTTGACCAGATCCAACTCGATGCCTGTTGAACCGTGATCTGGAGACGATGTGAAGCAGGCTTCAGGCTCCGGCCAGTGATGCCCACCTTCAAAAGTAAAGAAACGATTGACCTTCCAAGGAATCCACGGCACCTAACCACAATACGTAGCACATAACATATCCATTCCTGTTCCCCACAGTCGGATCACAGCGTCAGATGTCCTCCTTTGGCAAAATGTATTATTTAACTGTTCACATTCTCATGACAGTTGTAATTAGGAAGAGCAGAAGGAAATACCTTAGAGTTACTTAGAATAATATGTGGAGAACGACGTTTGGCTACTTTCTGAAAGAACACGGCAACAAAAGATAAGCGGGGAATGCTATTAGAGACATATGCGAATACAGATTCCTAGTGACTCTAGACCTATCGGCAAGCCTTCTTTCGCAATCGTTTTGTCTTGAGACGAATTAAACGATTTTATTGAACGACTTAGGGCAAGGTTGTTCTTTTCTTGCGTAAGACCCTCATCAGTTATCCATTTATCATGGTTGCACCTTAAGGACTCAGCTGTTAGCAATAACATTTTCAAATAAAATAATAATAAAAAATGTTTGACTCCATGCCAGAAATACATTTAAAAACCAATGTCTTCTGCTATCATGAAAACGCAGTTTAAATATATATCCATCAGACGTGTTTACGCTGTCCCGAGATGATATTTTATTGTTCCAGTATTGGCATTATTCATTGATTCTCCATCGACTTCAGGGACGTTAGGTCTATACAAGGAAAGCTTTATTGTTGTTAGTCTTTCTCTACTTATTTGAAATTGTATCCTATCTTTTATTTACTTATATAAATTCCTGGACATAATTTTTAGATGATAGAAACGTAAAATAGGTAATGTTATGTTGTCTGATCAGCTTCCAACAAATTCTAATGATTTTAACCTAGCGGGCAGTCTTGAACGACAGGAATTCACTTTTATTACTTTTGTCTGAGTTGGAAAGTATACACTTCGAATGTATGCTTCTTCTTCTATAAGCCGTATACTTTCGATGCGCTTGTGTCTCTCCACTATTTCCTATTCCTTGTAGATGTTAGTAACATTCTCTTTTTCTCATCTCTCTTAAACAGTGTTCTGTCATCCATTTGCCCAAGCACGTGAGGCTCTTTATGCCTCTCTTGCTTTCAGAATAACTTTTGAGCGTCACATTTTCTAAGCCCGCTTTTCTCATTCTATTCACTAGAATCGTTAAGTCTCTAATTTAATCTTAAGTATAAGTGCGCTTTTTGTTTCCATATTCTCTAGTACTGCTATATAGCAGGACTGAAATTACGTAACAATTCAGGACGCCTTTTTTTTTTTTTATTTTTCAATACTCAGCTTTTGCTACTTGCTCTAAATCGTTATATCTGGAATGAAACCATTTTAAAATATTGCATATAGAATTTGTTACAGTTCGGGTGTGTAACACAAAACATAAATTTTAATACGATTACAGATCGCTGATAAAATAATGCTCGACAGGATACAAAAATATCCTTCATATGTGGAGGATTCAATTATTTACATTACCTGTGGGAAAACCTCATACAAACATCCAGTAACCCATTATATATATATATATATATATATATATATATATATATATATATATATATATATATATATATATATATATATATATATATATATATAGATAGATAGATAGATAGATAGATAGATATGTGTGTATGTGTCGACAGTGTATATATATATATATATATATATATATATATGATCAAAACATCATATATATATATATATATATATATATATATATATATATATATATATATATATATATATATGACTGTCAAAACGGATTGAGTTCTCTAGGTCACTAGCGTGTCACTAGCGTGTCACTAGCGTGTCACTAGCGTGTTTATTTAAAAAATAAAGACGCGAAAATTCACTTTTCCTTCTAAAGTGCACCGAGAGCCTACGAGCTAGTATCTCCGACTGATGCCAAATCGGTTCGGTTTTGATCCCGGCTTGAAGCGATTTTATGTCTACATGTCAGGCTACACTGATGATCTGTGATAGGGCATGTCTGTGGATAATATATATATATATATATATATATATATATATATATATATATATATATGAGGCCAACAATACACTTTATCTTTGGTAAAATATTTAGACTTTGGTATTAAATAACCACAGAGTTAGGTATACCACTTAAACCAAACAAATAACCAATCAACCAACAGGAAAGAACTATCATGAAATTAATCCATATATTATTGTATAATTTCTTAATGAAATCAAACTGCATTCCAAACTATATCTTCAACAAAACTGCAACATAAAAAACACCCCTCAGCGTCCCTAGTAATTGTGAACGCACAACCGTGTATATGTACAAAATCTGCGTATCATTTACCATGCATTCAACGTGTAAGCAGAATAACATATCATTTTTTTTATTACTTCAAAGCACCCAAGAAAATTAAATTTCGGCATTAAATGACCCACAAGAATTTGATAAGCCGTTAAACAAACAACCAAACAAACATAAATCTACTCATTATATTGAAAATCTACTTACCTTAAAAATGAAAGTAAAACTGTCGTCCCAGGTCACTGCTGCGTCTATGGGACCTTGGACCCCGCGCCAATCCCAATGAATTTTGCGAGGATATCCATTATCGATTCCGGTTCGAGAAAGTCGATAATACTCTTCTCCTGAAGAAAGAAAAGAAGAATGAACCATTGCTGAATAATAAATAGTTAATAAATTGTCTAATCCTTATCTATGCCCATCATTAAACACCAGTCTTGTATTAAAAACCACTGAATAATATCAGCACGTAGTGCACCAGGTTTCTGTATTCGGCCCTTCAAAAAGTGTGGATGGTTCTGCACGAAACCTTCACCACTATAATCGAATCTCATGTGCCGGTGTCAGGCTGTCAGTTTCCTGAAAACTGATCTGCTTGACCCTCATACGTCGAACCCGACGGGAGAATCGATATATATATATATATATATATATATATATATATATATATATATATATATATATATATATATATATGAATTAGATTCAAACGGATAAAGATGTTACCTTAACAGTCATTTACAAAATTAAAAGATCACTATGAGTAAACTGTTATATTTTTGAAATCATTTTAATGTGTTCTCTATGAATATGTTAATAAATACAGTATTTAAGTTATATTAAATCCCGAAGTTATTTGTAAAAGACTTAAATATTTAAATTGCTAGCAAGCATCAAATTTCTTCGTGTTTTTTTTTAACATTTAAATTATTATCAAAGATTAAAATCTATTTTTTTTACATATATTGGTAAACATATATCACCCCTCTTCTTCCTACGTAAAACCTAATTACAGCTTCTTTCTTTTTACTTCCCTTTCTTTCTTTTTTCTTTTTCTTTTTCTCTCTTCTCCCCTCCCATTTCAATATATCACTTCCGTTAAGTTAACCGTTTAAATAGGACATGGTCTGGTCCCTCCTCCCCCAATACTAAGTATGACTGAAAGAAATATTAAAATAAACCCTCTCTAAACTCGACCATGTCTCTCACACCACTCCTCGCTACCCTTTCTGCTAAATTGCATAAACTTGATACTACCTGTCAAAAGTGTGAATTTACCTTTCATTTTTCATTTCATTTTTGGAAGTGTTATCTGATGATCCAGCGTCCCTTAAAATGGCTCTGATGAAATAAATTATTATAAGGGAACCTTAAAGTGGTCTGTTTTTCTTTAATATATGTATATATATATATATAAGCAAAATAAAATATAAGTTAATTAGTAAATTAATTGTCACTTATCTGGAAAAGTATCCTCAAGTTAGGTTATATTTTCATAATGTTAAGTCGCTCATATCCTCTGCATTTAATTAGCATTTTCTAATATATATATATATATATATATATATATATATATATATATATATGTGTGGATAAATTGTCGTCTATATTACACAGAAATAACACTGACATCTCATTTTAATTGATATATTTACCAAAATTACATAAAATATATCGAAATCCAAAAGAGTAAATTTATTCAATAAAATCGCTCAAAATCAACCACGACCTCCAGACGACTTCGGAATCTCTTGCAACTCTTCTGGACAGTTTAAGTTGGTGAATGCTGCCATAATCCTTCAATTCAGTTCATTTTTGGCTTTACAGCGAGTTTTGTTGTCTTCTCCCTCAGCTGCGCCCCACACAAAGGGGGTTGCCGTCTGGATATTTAGGTGGCCAGGTGTTAGTGATGATGTGGTCGCAGAAGTTGTCTGACAGCCATGACTGTGTTTTCTTGCTTAAGCGGCGTGGTGCAGAGTTTTGTTGTCAGACATAGGATCTTCCATCAGCCACACACTTGACCCAAGGCAGCGCTACTTCCTCAAGATGCAACCAAAAACAAGAAGCTGGAAGAGTTTCACAAGTTGGAAGTGAGAGAGAAGAAACAGCTGGCATAGAACTTTCGGTTGCATCTAGCCATTTTGACTGTAAAATGATGAAACGAATCCGTCAATCTGGTACTGCGCTTAAATCCATAATGTCTGTGTACCATAGGGCAAAGTTGATCAGAACAATTATCATGAAATTATGTATAGAAATGTTAAAATGAAGAGGTTTGAAAATGATAGAAATGCTATGTCATGAAAAATAAATTTTTTCTTCTTTGTATTTTATCAAGACTCACCAAATACATAACAGAAGAATCAGAGTAGATGTTACAGCCATATTCATAGCATGGATGAATCGTAGACGTATATTTTTTTTAAAGATACATTCTAACAAGAAATATTCTCTAGGACAATGAACTGACTAGTAGCCGACCTAGCAACTGATTATCTATAATCTTTTCATTTCATATCAGCAGAAAACGTTAGCCCGTTTTAGAGATTAGCATCAACGAAGCTTATGGAAGGCCAAAAAAAAAAAAGTTTCTTTAAGACTATTTAAATATAGCACTTTCGTTTTAAAGGTGTTAAAATTAATTGGCCATTTCTTGCACTAGTTAACAACAGTCTGCATGTTATCTTTTAGATCAGCTGCCAATTTAGCCATCTTGAACCGATCAGATAGTATTCACATTAAATATTATCTTCGGTTATCTTCAAGTTCTTCTGAAATCTCAGGTATATATTTAAAAAGTTGATCCCTTCACGCAATCTAGGGAATTATATGGCTAATATTTTGTTTTATATTTAAGGTTTTCCTGTCTGATTTAGTTTGTATGCTTAACGGCATATCAACTCATTATGAGTCATTTTATGGTGAAACTTTATTTTCTTGTCAGCTTTGGTAAATTATTTTTAGCAATTATAAATTGCTGACATTTTTAATATGAAAATTTATTGCTAGTAGTTATTTCAAATTTATTTTTCATATTTTCATTTTTTGACCGCATTTAGGGTTTTTATATGGGACACTAAGTGATACTGTCACTCCAGGTCAGGATGAACCACAGAGCAACACCAATTAAGAGGTGCTTCCACACTCCCCAAAACCTCTCGATCAGAGGATTTCTTTCGGATGTAGTATAACGTCTTACCCAAGACGAGGTTTTTCTACCGTTGCTAGATTTAAGCCAATCCAAAATGCAATTTGCATTCTTCTGTCAGACTGTTGTAACATAATGATCATACTCCATTTCCCCAAACTCTCCTTTTTTGCATTCATATTAAATTCACAATGTGTCTTGAAGTAAACAAACCAATCTATCTCTTAAGTCCCTGAAACTTATGAATGGGAAATTATGTGATATGAATGCTGATTATTAACATTTGAAAAGCTTATGAAACATTGGGTTCAGCTAAAACCCTACTATGTAAGCCATTTGCAAGGGAAGTCTTGCTGCTTCAAACCTTATTTAAAAAAAAATAGTTAAGCAATTAATTAATTTCAAAATGTGCTGAATCAGGGGCAAGTTAAATTGGATCAGAAACCTATAATTAATCCCCATTCAACCCTGACAAAACAGAAAGATTTCAATCAAGTTAATGCTGCACGGGTCACTGTGATCTTTCTATGATGTTTCGAAAGAAACTTCTGACATGGTATTCGATCTGATTGAGATGCACTCGGGAATCCTGAGGGAAGTGACTGCAAAAATTTGATTTTACATTATTTCCCTGTCTTGTTTTTTTTTCCACTTATTATTCAAGAACTAGTGTGTAGGATATCCTTTAAATATCAAATGAGAAGTATGTTCGGGAAGCATGCAGCCGCTGTGAATATCACGTGAATTGGTTGTGGGGCCTTGATATAACTTAGCAGATAAGCATGAATTCCTTTCACCCATAATTTCTTTATGAAAGGTTAGTTTTCTAAAGCTCGTGATATCATTGCATACATCCACCAAAGATCTCTCGCGCTTCGTCATAGCTTATTGGAGTGATTTTATGTCTAGGTATATTCTCGGGTCATTATTGAGCATCTATGCAATTTCCAGAATCAAGATGATCGGAAACTTGCAGATGATCACTCTTCTGACACTGATCTAGGTGCTCAATGGAGAGAACCTGGCTTGTAACTTTTAATACTTAAAAAAACGTTATTTTGAGACAGAGACGGTGAGTTGTCATAAGTCCCGATAAACGGTTAAACACTCAATAAGGCTCCATGTTTTAAGGCTGTAAAATGGTCGGTTCTAAATTCACTCAATGATCTATCTGATACATACCACTTATCTTTGGGAAAATCAGCTTGAGGCATATGCACAATACCGCAAACTGGTACAAAGTCAAATCATCAATACATCTCGAGTCATTTATCTATATATAAAAGTCTGTGACTTCTGTTATTCCGACCGTCCGTCTCAGCCTCTAAAATAGGCATATATGGCAATACCGATCATTTGAAACAGTATGTTTGAACAATATCAACAAGGTCTGTCTAACCATTTTGTTATTACGTTTTTCAAGTTTCTAAATAAGTTGTTTTATACAATCAGCAATCTTTCCCGTGTTCATATTTACTTATTTTTCTTTTACATTCGTTGTCTTAGCTCTCCTGTCTGTCTGTCTGTCTGTCTGTCTGTCTGTCTGTCTCTCTCCTATATATATATATATATATATATATATATATATATATATATATATATATATGTGTGTGTGTGTGTGTGTGTGTGTGTGTGTGTGTGTGTGTATGTAGTTAAACTCACATACATACAATTAAGTATGTTAGCTCTATCACTGATATTGAGCATTTTACAATAAGTATCACACATATAATAATATATGTATATAAATCCTACGCATATATACATATTCTACATATATATATGTATATATACATACATGTGCATATATATACATATATACACACACACACACATATATATAGAGAGAGAGAGAGTGAGAGAGAGTGAGAGAGAGAGAGAGCTATATACATTATCGATCGTATTTTTATCATTTTCAAACATAAAATAAAACAGAGTGAGTACCGAAAGCCATATGAATATTTTGCCTAGCTTAGATGTGAAAAAAGGGTAAATATATGGAAGAGACAGTGAGGATCTAACTCACTATTCAGTTCTTATTGATCTAGTGACAATAGGTTGCTCACCATTAAACCACATCGAAGTGACCAATAACGGTTATCATAGCGATTTACTAAGCCTAGCTTAGATGTGAAGTAAGACCAACAATGTGGCTGTCCTAGTAAGGACCTAAATCTCTATTCAGTCGTAATTGAT